AGGAGGGGAGGGGAGGGAAGGGAAGGGAGTGAGGGAAGGAAGAAAGGAGGAAAGGAAGGAAGGAAGGAAGGAAGGGAACAGAGAAAGGAAGAAAAATTATCAGACACACATTTTAACCAGACTTCTAGTCCTCCACCTTTAAAGCAAGGAAGGGAGGCAGATGCATTGATAGAGGGCTTTGGATTTCAGGAAAGCTTTGGGAGTATTAAGTAGTGCTTTCCATTTCCACCCTTATGACTCTCAGCTATAAAGCTATTGATATTCAGTTCTCCACAATTATTTTTTCAACAAGCATTTATTCTGCTTGTGCTGAGTGAAAGGACTGTGAGGTTTCAGGACATGATTCCATAAACAGAAGACATGAATGAAGCATATTATTGTCAATACTGAGACAGAAGGAAAAATATGATAATGCTTCCTGAGATACTATAACAAAAAGGGCATCATCCTATTTCAAATTCAGAAAACTATGGGTGTCTCTTAACAAAGCTACTTTTTTAGTATTAGGTGATTAGAAAGAACGAGAATGCCCACCAATATAAGAGCCCAGAGTGCCTGGCCATTCTAAGCACACTGAAAATGGTGAATGAATTCATTTCATTCTCATCATAACCCCAGAGTAATTACTCTTAGGATCTCTGTTTTATAGACATCAAAACTGAGGCAGTGTTTAGAGACTTTCCTGAGGTCCCAAGGCTCTGTACAGCAGGCTCTGACCCCGGCCCCACCAGCCCCACCCTTCTAGGCTTCCCAGCAGCTGCCAAACTTCAGGGAGGCTCATGAATGAAAGTGTCACACCACCAAACTCATTACAGTCTTATCTCTGTGTGCTTGAAAAGGGGCATAATGTTTACAGGTGGAATGAGGAACATACTCAGCCCATAAGAAGCCCTTGCAGGCCATAGTTCAGGAAGCCAAGTAGTAGGAGTCAGGGCATTAGGCTGCTCTGAGTAGTAGCACAAGAACTGGACCCTGAACATGTGGTGAGGAGGATATTTATAAGCAGAGGTGGGGGAAGGTAGGCTCAGGTGAAAGGACTGTAAGTGAAGGGGCAAAGTGGGGGCTGGAGTACAAGGTGATGAGGAGGCAGGGAAAGCTGTGGAGAGGAATCTACCCTTCCTAGCCATGTCCTGTTGGGTTCATCTCTGCCCACCTCACAAATGACATCCCCAGCCCTGCCAGATCATCACTGTATGTTGCTAGTGCTCAGAATTATTCTAAAACTTCAATTAGATGCTTTTGCTTTTCAAATAGTTCTCTCACAAAGTTAATTCACTTACAGTTTTCCTGGCAAGCATTTTTGCAATTTGGTATCTGTTGGTCTTTTAAAAAATTTTTATTATTTTTTCTTATTTTATATGTATGAGTGTATTGTCTGCATGTATGTAAGTGCACCTGTGTTGTGCAATGCCTGTGGAGGTCAGAAGAGGGCATTAGATTCCCTGGAACTAGAGTTACAGATGATTGTTAGCCACCATGTGGGTGCTAGGAACCAAACCTGAGTCCTTTCCAGGAGCAGCTGTTCTTAACCACTAAGCCATCTCTCCAATCTCTTGGTCTTTTTTTTTTTTTTTAAAAAAAAATAAGACTCATAATTGTTTCATATTTGAATAGTATTATCAAAAGGATTCTTTTTCTAATAATTCTATGATCTGTTTAATGTTTTACATGCCAAATACTTTGAAATTTTTTATTATTTATTTTAAAAATACCTTTGTTCTTTGACAGTTTCATGTATGTATACAATCATACCCATCCCCATGTCCCGCTCACCTTCACCACTTTCATGTCCTCCCCTTGTTGGAACCCACTGAGTCCAGGTAGTGCTGCCTGCTAGAATGTTCACTGATCTTCTGCATGTCTTTTATTAAAACTTTTATTTATATGTGTGTATGTGCACACATGCTGTGCATGTGGAAGTCAGGGGACAACTTGCAGGAGTTGGCTCTCTTTTTCTACCATGTGGGGTCTGGGGGTCAAATTCATGTTGTCAGGCTTGGTGGCAAGTTCCTTTACCCACAGAGCCATCTTTTTTTTGAACTTTTACAAAAACTTTATTGAGAATTTCATACATGTATATAAGGTGTTTTGATCAAATCCATGCCCACTCCCTCCCCTCTGACATTCCCCCCTCTGAAGAGGTAACCCTAAAATCTTTTAGGATTAGATATAAGCTCCCAAATACTTTTGACATTTTTGGCCTTTGGAACAGAGTATGTTGCTAACAGGCCCAAGGACATTTTGACTTTTAGCCAAGAAACTGGCTACATTTCTTTGGTGTCTTTTTACCCTAACCGCCTAGTCAGTTCCTACCTCCTATTCTTACCACACCATCCTCTGAAGGGGTTACCCAAACAGCCAATAGGGAATAGGGACTCAGATCGCTCCACAGAGCCATCTCACTGGCTCTTGAGCAGGTCTTGAGCAAGTAATCCTAAGCGTAGTGAGTTCATTAGTGCGCAATGGCCATATCATGTCCAAAAGAGCATTCTCAGCATTCCTCCCCATCCTCTGGCTCCTACATTCTTTCCATTCCTTCTTCCTTAATGTTCCCTGAGCCTTGGAGGGGTTGCTATTGTCCCATTTAGGGCTGAACACCCAATAGTCACTTATTCTCCTCTCCTTGACCCCAAATACTTACAGCACCAATCATCTCATAGTCTGAGGATTCCCCTAACTTAAATGTGTTTCTGCAGCCTGAGGTGAGAATGTGGCCATTCATCTCACTGTAAGCAAGTTATTTGTTGAAGAGAACTTACATTTCTGAATTATAGCCCTGTTTTGCATAGTAGACTATGGTCAAGTCATCTGATAGTTCCAACTATTTTTTTTTCCATTTATAAAGTGGAAGAGTTGGACATCCAGGGTTGATGTTTCCCTTCTCAGATCTCTGATAAAGTGGCAAAGCTGTGTGACTCACTGAGTTCCACCAAGCTGGCCTTCCTGGTTCATGGAGTGAGAGCTCAGCCTCTGACACCACACCATTGCTTCTGAACCTGGGTGGCCACTGAAGCAAAGTCATGCAGATTCCTGTCCTGCCAGAATCAAAGACAGTGTGTCTAGGAGAGAGCACTCTTGTGCTGTTTCTACATATTTTGTCATTAAGCCTGCCATCCTTTTTAGAAAAAAAAAAATCATTTTTTATTTGTTTTAATTTGTGATAGGGATAGAAGGCGAGTAGCAAACTGAGTGGCACGTGGTGCCATCTGCCTGAGATTGTACTTGAATTTTCAAAAAGTCTCCTTGGTGGTAGGAGGTGGATGGAATTACGCTGACTGGGATAGTTCTTAGAGAAATGAATTAAAGTGGATAAATTCTGGTTTTAGAAACAAACTGCATCTGTGATAATGGTGATGGGGAGTGGATAGGGGCTTCTTACATGTTCTTCTTCATTTAGGCACAGCATGTTCATGGGGATCAAGCAGAGAACTGCACCCCTCCAAGGTGAAGGGAAGGTTGGGGAGGGAGATGTTCTGAAGATTCTGTTTGTTCCTGGTCTCAAAGCATCCAGTGGGTTTCTATCCTGTTGAATGCAGGCACAGGACTCATGTTGCTAGTCTGTCCTGCCCACCTTATCTTCCCTTGGCTATCAAATGGTCCCATTGGGCCATTCAACTGTGGCCTGGCTTCCGTGTCTCTGAACCCGATTTTTGCCCTGTTATGTTTTCTTTGACTTTTTCCTACCTCAGCAATGGTGGCCCAGCCAGCTGAGAAAAGCTGTGGGGAGAGTGTGCAGCCGTTCCTGGCATCCATTCTGGAGGAGCTCATGGGGCCGGTGAGCTCAGGCTTTGGTGAAGTACGTGCACTTTTCGAAAAAGAAGTGGATGAACTCAGCCAGAGCTTCCATGCCACCAAAGATGGTGTCCAGCTAAAGGAGGTAGGGCCGAGCTGAGGAGCAGAATGCCAAGGAGCTGCAGGCTGCCTTCCCTGGAGCCTTGCCTTTCTTCCCTTCCCCCTTGACCCTTCCTGGTCTCCTTTCCTCGCTCTCTCCCTTCTCTTTCCTTTCCCTTTCCTCTGCCCCTCTCACTCCTCTCCCCTCCATTTCCTCACCTCCCACCTCTCCTCCCTTTTCTTTCCCCTTCCATCCATTTATCTGGTATTTTTGCCAACTATCCAACCAACTCTTTCATCCATCTATTCATCAGTCCATATGATTGTCTTTATTAATAGTTTTCAATTTGAAAAAGTAGTTTGTACAAGTAAAACAACACACTTAAATGTATAATAAAATTATATATCCATACACAGGCAAAACTGATAACCAGCACTGATGCTAACTACCCGTGGTCCACCTCCATCCACCTCCATTCTCAAGTCCTTGAGTTAACTAATATAAATAGCTTGGTTATATTACCTGTATGTTTTATTTGCTCATATAAATATATAAGCATGTGTAGCTCATATTTTTAAAATGTTTGCTTCCTGGTTTGTTTTCAAAGCTATAGATTCCTAATATATAGGAATCACTTGGTTGTTCAAAATGTACACCCTCAGGCCCCACCTTGACCTATGGAATCAGAGACTGGAGGAAAGGGGACAATCTGCTTTAATAAGAACTCCAGGGGATTTGATGAGCTCTAAAGTTTGAGATTCACCAACACAGACACTTGGCAACTTTTACACTTGACATACCATTATGAACATGACTTGTTAGGATAATTGTTTCTCCTTCCTTCCTTCCCTCCCTTCCTGGTATCATTTAAAAGCTTTTTTTTAATTAGCACATTATAATTGTACATATTTATGGGGTACAGTGTGACAATGTTACAAGAGTTGTTAAGGCAAAGCCCGGCTCCAGAAGTCCCAATAGTCTAGGCTCAGCCACTGTCTCTGATATGCCAATAAAAGCAATGAGTGGTGTTGAGAAGCAGAGCCCTGGAGATCTGTTCAATGTGCCCACATTGGGAAGAGGAACAGATAAAGGCATGCAGACCCAGACATCTGTCTTTCAGTTGCTGACACGAGCTTCAGGCTTAAGTAGAGGAAGAACTGGGGAAAGGGCTAGAACCCTGGTCAAGGTACGGTCTCCTTAAGCACGGTCTCTGCTTCTCGTCTTCAGTTTCAAGGTGGACTTTGTCATTGTTCACCCTTGCAGGAATCCATGTGGTCCTACAAGATATCACTTCTGCTCTGGGTACAGCCCCACCCTCATGGGCCCTCATCTGTGTGGGGAGCTCTGTGCTGAGAGGCTTTGTTCTTCCTGGAACCCAGGGTAACTGTAGGTTTAGGAAAAGGACTTATCTTTGTGGCTTCAGCCAAAGTAATGGATAGACAGAAAATGAAGGTGGAGATGCCAGCCTTTCATCCTGCTTTAGTTGCCTGTGGGACCAAGTGAGGAGTCATTGCTTTTTAGCCAAAGCTGCTTCTATGTACCCATTTCAGTAATTTATACATATGGACAGAGTATCATGATCAAATCACAACCCCTTCTATTCTCTCAATCGTTTTCCATTTCTTTGTGTTGGCAGCTCTTCGAACTCTTTATGGAGTACATGATAAACTGTTGTACACATAGCCACCCTCCTACGCTGGGCCTTTCTTATTTCCTTATGTATATATCCACATGCCTAATTGTACAAAATCAAGACCATTTCATAAATGCCTTGTGGTTTCTTCTTGCAACCTATTGTTTGTTTTTAACTTGCCTTTACTCCCCTTCCTTTTCTGGCACCACCCACCACTCCTCAAATAGTCAGTATTACAACTTGGCCTGTACCATTCTGTACTCTCTCCTTGCTTAGATAGTATACAAAATGCAAACATTTCTAGACTGTTGTCTTACACTGTTTACTTTGAGAAAAATGATATTTTATACACTACTCTATCAGTTTTCTTCCTCAAAAAGATTTCATGAAACTGTTTCCAAGGAAACTAACTGTTCTAGTTCTAAATCATTTTTGGTAATGGCAGAATAATATTTCATGTATAGAAACAATATGATTCACTCAACCCTCCCATTATTGCTGACACCAGGAGCAAAGCTGTAATAAATAACCTTGTACATGCATCCTGTCGTATTAATATACGCATACATAGATATATATTCCTTATATCCTGGTGCTTTTTATTTCAGTGGAATAGATTTCTTAGGTTGAATGATATATTTTCATGTTAACAGATGATTAATTTTCAAATGATTTTTAATTTTGCATTGTACTGATTGCTTGTGGCAGGGAACTTTCTCCCTGTTAGCATCTGTAATGGGCATTTCTACTTGTTTAAACTTTCAGCAATTTGAAAGAAGCAAAGTGAGCACCCATTTTTCCTCTCTTACCTGCTCAATTAATGTTTCTTAAAAGTGATTTGCATACCTGGGGCTAGGGAAATGGCTCAGGAATAAAAAGAATTTGCTGTTCTTCCAGAGGACCTGAGTTCGGTTCCCAGCACCCACATTGGGTGACTCACAGCCACCTGTAACTGCAGCTTCAAGGGATCCCTCCAAGGGATTCAACATTCTCTTCTGGCCTCTATGGACACCTGCACTCACACATGTACTCCCCCCATAAGCAGGTGTGTATATACACACACACACACACACACACACACACACACACACACACACACAGATAGAGAGAGAGGAATTACGTGAGAGACTCCCCACAAGTGGGAAGGGGGTTTAGAAACTGAAACCCAAGTTCCCTGACAGGGATTGGGCTTTTAAGTGTCCTG